CAAAATTGTGTATTTTGGATATATCTTACATCTTCTTATATGGGTACCTGTGTTTCCCTCTGTAGAATGTAAGATCCTTAAGAGCAGGAACTGTTTTGTTTTTGTCTTTGTATCCCAATGCCTGGCACATAGTAGGCACTTAATTGTTGGTTAATTAGTTAATACAAAGAAGATAGAGTAATTGAAACAGACTTTAGCACATCTTAACCCCCCAAGAGACCAGGGAAAAATGTTGAAAGAGTGTTAGACAGGAAAGCACTGAAACAAGTCATGAATGGCTTTTCTTATGCAGACCCACTGCTTGGGTTTCTCAAGAAATAACAGACCAAAAACTAGCTAGTGTGCTAAGCAAAGGGGAATCTCTGTAGCTACTTATCATTTCCCACTTCCACCTCCAGCACACCAGAAATGTAGTTGCTCCATTTCTCCCAGAAGGAAGTTGGATAGATCTTAAGAGTATAAATATTGTCAATATATAAGGGAAAGGGCATTAAAGGGTACAGAGATACAAGACAGACCAGGTGGCACTCCCAACAGTGCTTAGCCTTTGACAAACAGATGAATGATGTAGCCACTAATTGAGTCATCACTATCTTTAAGGTTTTTAAGGAAACCAAATAAAGGGAAGGGAAGTGATGTATCTTGGATTAACCCAGTCAGTATATGGTGGTAAAAGATCACATAGTAAGAGTCATTGGAGATAGTAAGACTGGTTGTGGCTGATTGAGGTAGAAAGGCGGTATAGCTTCAGTGTTTTGTCTCAGGTCCTCCCCGCATACCCTACCCTCCCACCTCCCTCACACTCCTCCACCCCCGTGCCATTTTCATAACTGGGGAACAGTTCACAGAATACTTGTTTTGGTCCTCAAGGGTCAGCAAATTATGATCTACCAGCCAAATCTGGACCACTTGTTTTTGTATGGCCTGTGAGCTCAGAATGTAGATTTTTTAAAATTTATTTTTAAAGAGTAAAAATATTTTTAGACAAAATGAAAGTTCATTCTTAACTCGTAAGCCATACAAAAACAGTCAACAGGCCAGATTTGGCCATGAGCCATAGTTTGCCAGCCCTTGGTGTAGGTCATAGCTTGTACTACTCTGGAGCCCACACACAGCATGCACTAGAATTGAGGAAGTAAATAATGATGGAAGTTGTTGTATACAAGCTAGTTCTGCACAGCTACTTGAATTAGTCAAGGGAAGGTCATCAATAAAGGCTGTTGAGGTCATTGATGATTATGATGGCAGACAATGGAGTGGAGAAGAAGATTGAATCAGGCACTGAAGTCATCACAGAAAGTTAGACACTAGCCTAGAGGTCAATAAATGAATTTGAAATGGTTGGGAGAAAAAGTGGCAAACAGATGTCATGAACTTCAAAAGATAAAAATCAGAGTAGTGGTCTGGAAGCAACAGTAGAAGCAGAAAAGTGTTCTAACTTCTTGTTCTGGGGTTTGGGAGTAGGGTAAGAGGACTTGGAGAGGGTTACAAAGGATGCTTTGTCAAACCAAGTTAAAACCTGGGTGGGTAAAATTGGTTAAGCTGAGAATAGTAGAGCAACATCTGCCCAATACACTAGGCACGGAGGACCTATGTAAGCATTGAAGAGAGAATGAATCAGAGTGAATATGTGTTACAGCTAGACTAAAACTTGGTTCTGCACTAGTCTCCTGCTTCATTCCTTTAACTGTAGTGATGTATTGCTTGAGCACTAAGTTGCTGATGCTTTTCTTAGCTAGCCTGAGCATTTCTTTGATGATTCTTTGACACATTTGACCAAAGAAAGATGAGGAATAGAGTCTGAGTATAGCACATTTTCTTGTCATACCCTACCTAAAGTAAAGAATGTTCAGACATGTTGCAGTTGTGTAGAATATAACATTGCAGAAATTTCTGGATGTCCTGATATTCTCTTTCCATCTATCCATTAGCTTATAGACAATATATTATCATAAATAAGAACTGTAGCCTTGCCTTCTTCTGTAAGCATCTGCTAAATTTATCTATGAATCATGATTCTTGGTTTTATATTATTTGCACTGGTATCCTGAACCACATCCTCCAAAAACTACAGACTTTCTGTAGAGTGGATGGAAGATTCAAACAGTTTCTTGTGACACAATGGAAAGAATTAACCACCACAAACTCGGTGTGATCACAGATTTGGCTGAAATAGTAGTAAATCCATTTGAAGTCTAGCCCCTTGTGATACTAGAGTCATGAGGAAAAATCCTGAGTCTGCTAAGAGCATCCAGGGTCTTCACAAGGACCTTTTGGTCTTCTGCCACTGATATCTACCCCTATAACAGCCTGATCCTATTCCAGCCACTAGGAATGCTGATAGATCAAGCTTTTAGACCATCAGGTGACCTGCTGATAAAGCATCAGACTGTGCCCTGAGGCCCTCATGGCAGTATTGCAATGTCATGATCAAAAAAATAAAGATGGAGCTTCTTGTGCTTTTCTCCACATACTGTAGGCACAGATAATAGCATTTATGAGGGACCCCAAAATATGTACCCCCTTATGGTAAAACAAGAAGTATATCACCTACAGTGTATTAATGTATCTGCTACAAGGATGGGCTCCAATGGAACAAGCAGTCTGCCACCCGTATAGCATTGCAGGGTTGGTGCTCTTAAATAGGTTGATGGTCTCTGCCTCAGACAGTCCTTGACTGAGTAATTTCTGTGCAGCCAGGTTACATGCCATTTCTCTTGTCTCTCGAAATGCATTCAGCTTTGATCCACCAGACATTGACAGGGATAAGTTCGCCTGGAGCCATGGCAGGACTCAATGAATGATCTTTTGAAACATTGTGGTTTAGTCATTTATTGGAACAGTTTAACCTGCCATCATAAAATATTCTTATTAGGAGAACACCAGTGTCAGCTGAGTGAACTCCAGTGATAGGCCCTAGGCAATCGAAGTGGTACAATGGAAAAAGCACTGACATCAGAGTTAGAGGACCAGGGTTCAAATCCCCTCTCTGATGCTTATTATTTTGGTGACCTTAGGCATGTGACTTAACTTCTACGGGCCTCAGTTTCTCCATTTATAAAATGTGGAGATTAGATAGCCCTTGTGGTTCCTTCAAGCTCTAAATTTATGATTCTTTAATCCCAAAGGCAAGAGAGGATATGTGGGTTTAACTCCCCCATTGGCCAAATTGAATATCTGAATGTTATAAACACCAAAGCAATAGAATATTTATGATAAATATTGTCTATATTGTAGACCCATAGTCTTACTTATCTAATATAGTTGCTGTGAGTAAGGCCAGGAGGCTTGCCAGCATGTCATTCTTTAAATGCTAGAAAATCATTGTTGCATTGGTCAATCTAGATGGCATTTCTTGGCATGCAAAATGCCCATAATTCATATGTGTATATATACACATACATGCATATACATACACACATGTACACATACATATACACGTGTGTGTGTGACTGTGTTCTACTTGTTTGAAGCTCTAATCCAGTTAAAGTTATATGCCCTACCTTCCCCACAAAAGTCCAACTTTGTATAAACTTTAGCCCTGGACCCTTCCTAAAATGTGGAATGAATAACAGTTGTAGACAATAATTCTCAATAAATAAAAGGATACAAATGCCCTCCTTGAGCATGAAGAAAAATAGGATCTCAGATGGTATGTATATAAGTCTCAGATAAAGTACTTCCATGAATAAGAACATTTGTATTACATAACCCCTACCACTTCTGTTCATTTAATGTTTAGATGACAAAAGATTGGTAGGGCAGTTTTGCTTGCTAGTATTCGTTGGGCTCTACCCCAGAGATTCTTTGAGCAAGGCGAGTACTGCTAATATAGATTCTTGGAAGGCCTTGAAGGAAGATACATACATAGTGTTATGGTCCAAACCAGGACTTTGTGGCACTATAGCCACTGCAATCTGAAAATAAATACCTGCCCCACTTTGTGGGTACATTGATTATCTCCAATATCATATTGCCTAAGTGGCTATCCTGATTGTATTAAGTTTTTTTGAGGTAATATGATATTGCTACCCTCCTCCTCCAAATAGCAGTTGCAGCATCAGGCTTCATTAATAGAACTATAATATACAGAACAAGGGAGATCTGCTTTTTTATGGATTTACCAAACTATATTTACAGTGGGGTATTGTATTTTATGTGCCACATTTTGATGAGGCCATGGACACACATATATGACATTTAAAGGAAAGCAAATAAATGTCATATGGGAAATGACTGTCTGAACTGGGAATGTTTGGACCGGAAAAAAAGATTTAGAAAAGACATTACAGCTACCTTCAAACAGTTGAAATGACTATAACATAAACTATGAATGTGATTGATTCTTTTTGTTTCAGATGGAAGAATTAGAAACAGTAGGTAGGAATTCAAAAGAGGCAGTTTGCTCCTCAATAGAAGCAAGAAAACCTGAACACTTGTGCATGAAAATGAATTGGGCAGCTTTATGAAGGAGTTATTCTTTAATGTCTTCAAACTGAGATTAAATGATTTCACATGGTCAGTAGATCAGAGAGATTGTAGAGCATAAGTATTCATCCATTGGATGGGAGGTTTGTCAGATAGCCTTCATGATCCTTTCAGACTTTTAAGGTTCTATTAATTCCATGAGGTCTTCACTTGCTTCCTTTACCTAGCCTGGTCCCCTTTTATTCTGGATCATGTGCACTTACTTTCTATACTTTCATAACTTAACGCTTTACCATACTCCAATTATGCCATGTCTTCTTTCCTCTCTGACAAAACTGTTTTCTCATCAAGGACATTGACCATGTATCTTTCCTATTTTGAACCTCCTATTTAGTCAGGAATGGTGCTGTCCACATAGTATGAAATCAGTAAATGATTTACTTGGAATGTAGACATCTTTGAAAATTATCAGAACTTATAGTCCTGTTCACTTTTTCTGACACTAGCAACTCTCTCCAAGGCCATGTCAATAAATGGTGCCAGGCTGAACATGAGTGTGTTTGGCATTTCAGGAATCATTGTCCTTCAAAGATGTGGCTGTGGACTTCACCCAGGAAGAATGGGGGCAACTGGACCCTGATCAGAGATATCTGTACAAGGATGTAATGCTGGAGAACTATAGAAACCTGGTCTCAGTTGGTAAGTGTGGTTTTCCTATGTGTCTTAAGGTTATTTTGTTTCCCCAGTCATTAAATGGTATAAAGCTTCTCACTCTAAAATATTTATCTGTTCAGAGACTTGGGACTGAGTGATTAGAAATTCTAAATTCACTTTAGGCACAAATACAGGGTGTTCCTGTTCCCTCTTTCCATGTGAAAGTTTACTTCTTAGAGTATAAAATAGATAGCTTTGTTGTGCTGTCCATATTGCTGTATTATCTCATCCTTCAGAAGTTCCAAGGAACAACCTAATACAGGAATAATTTTTACCCCTAGCACAAACATCTAAGTTCTTTGTTTTTCCCTCTGAGCAGGACATCAAGTTTATAAGCCAAATCTGATATCCCAGTTGGAGCAAGGAGAGGAGCCTTGGATTATAGACAGAGAAATCCCAAGAGGTGCCTTCCCAGGTAAGTGAGAAAGACCCAAGCAGAAGAATCACTTTAAGGAACAAAAAGGATTGTAGTCTTTAGCTTTTGTAATTTTCTTTGAAGCCATGTAGGCATATGGATAAGAATGAGGTCATTTTGGCATAAACTCCCTCAAATACCTTGAGCTTATTTGAGTCTCTAATATGTTGAAGTAATCTTAGAGTTGAAAGAGATCTTAGAATACATCGAGTTCAAACTCTGAGAATACAAAGAAAACAAAATTATACAATCTTTACCTTTAAGGCACTTATATTCTATTGGGAAAGATGGTATGTCTGAATATATTTATACAGAATAAACACAAAATTAATACATAGTGGTTATGGAGAAGAGCATTAACAGTTGAGAAATCAGAAATAATCAAGTTAGGAAGAACAGTTTAGGGGCATGACAGAGAGATAATGAGTTCAGTTTTTGGATATGTTTATTTTTTGGTTCTGATGGGAATGTCCTTTGGGCATGTGGAAGTATGGATCTTGAGCTCAAAAGGGAGATCAGAACTAGAGATAGAGATGTGAGAACATAAAGAGGAGTTAAAGTGGTGGGAATAGATTAGATTGCCAAGGGAAAGATTATAGGGAGAGAAGAGAGCCAAAGAGTGGAATGCCCACACCAACAAGATAGAGAAGATGAGAAAGAGTAGAAATGATTACAGATGTAGAAGAAAAACCAGGATTATGTGGTGCCCCTGAACCTGAGGAAAAAGAATCCATTAGAAAGTGGAGGTCAGTAATGCCAAAAGCTGAAAGAGAGATCAAAGGGAATGAAGACTTTAGAAGTCAGAGGTAGACGGGTAAATGATTTGCAGGGTTACACCTCCCCAGCATTCAGGGTAGAATTTAAAGCTTGGACATTTGGGGGTTTGTGCCTCCATGAGGTCTCTTTTTAAGGTACACAGAGGTTCCTTGATTGATTAAACAAGACTTCAGGTGTCTGTGCTCTAGCATTTTGGGCTTCAGGAAGAAGAGGGGCAAAATGCTTCAGAAAAGATGTCCAATACTCCCAGCTTTCCCAAGATCCATGAAGATAGTGGCCCATACGATACTAAAATACACCTTAGAAGAACAGTTTATAGGTGGTCATTTATAAAATAAGGATTGCCATATATCAGGCAAGAAATGTCCTGGTTAAAATAGCTTCATAGGAGTTTGAATGTAGATCGAAGCATACTATTTGCTATTTTTTTTTCTGTTGTGTTTTGTTTTCTCTTCCTGGTGGTTCCCCCTTTGGTTCTAATTCTTACTTACAACATCACTAATGTGAAAATATGTTTAATATGAATGTAAATGTATAGCCTATATCAGATTGCATGCTGTCTGGGGGAGGAAGCTGGGGAGGGAGGGGGAGAAAAATTTAAAACTCAAAAACTTATGGAAGTGATTGTTGATGATTCAAAATAAATTAATAAAAAAATAGCTTCATAGGCACCCATGGGACAAAGCCAGTGGCATAGGTCAAACACTTCCCCCAAAAAATGTATTTTGATTGTCCCTATATTAATAATCAATAAGCATTTTTTAAATACTTCCAATGTGCCAGGTGCTGTGCTAAGTGCTGGGGACACAAAGAAGGGCAAAAACAGTTTGTCCTCAAGGACCTCAAAATCCAAATGGGGAGAAAACATACAAACAACTACATAGGAATAAGATATATATACAGGATAAATTGGAGAGAATCCCAGAGGAAGGCACTTGCTTAAAGGGGACTGGGAAAAGTTTCTTGAAGAAAGAGATTTTAGCTGAGACTTGAAGGAAGCCAAGGAAAACCAGGAGACAGAGACAGGAGGAAAAGTGCCAGGCATGGAGGATAGTGAAAATGCACACAGTTGGGATATAGGGTATCTTGTACAAGGAACAGCAGGAAGGTTGCTGTCACTAGATCACAGTGTGTGGAAAGGAGTAAGGTATAAAAAAGCTGGAAAGGTAGGAGAGGCCCAGGTTATAAAGGGATTTAAAAATCAAGCAGATAGATCAATAAGGCTGAGGACTGAGAAAAGTCCATTAGTTTTGGCAATTAAGAGATCATTGGAATGAGCAATTTCATCTGTATGGTGTGATCGGAAGCCAGACTGCAGAGTTAAGAAGAGAGTGAGAGGAAAAGAAGTAAAGACACCTATTATAGAAATCCTTTCAAGGATGTTTGGCCTTGAAAGGGTGAAGAAATATAGAACAATAGCTATTGGGGATGGACAAATCAACAGAGTTTTTTAAGGATGGAGATAGATTTATTTGTAGGCACCAAGAAAATAGCTAGTAATCAAAGAAAGATTAAAGATTAGTAAGAGAGAGGGGATGATAGAGAGGAAGTACTAGTGAAGGGAAGGAATAGGATCACTAGTGAATGAAGAGAGGTTCGCCTTGGCAAAGGAAGGGCTACTTCTTCATGTATAATGGGGGTGAAGGAGGAGATAGTGGTGGTAGGTAACTTGGTGACATGATATGAAAGAGGATGAGAGAGATTTTTTTTCCCAGACATTTTAAGACACAAAGAACACAAAAGAGAATTCCATATAAAATTGTGAAGTTTTGCTATGTGCGTTTTTTTGTTTTGTTTTGTTTTTTTGGTGAGGCAGTTGGGGTAAGTGACTTGCCCAGGATCACACAGCTAAGAAATGTTAAGTGTCTGAGGACAGATTTGAACTCATATACTCTGGACTCCAGGGCCAGTGCTCTATCCACTGCGCCATCTAGTGGCCCCGATAAGAGAGACTTTTGACAAATGGCCTATTTTTTTCAGTGAAACATGGCAAGTTTCTCAGCTGATAGGATGAGTTCAAGGGAAGCTATATCAGGTTTGAGGAAAGATGAAAAGGTTTGGGAAAGCTGCTCTAGTGAGTGGAAGTAAATTGATTTAAGGACATACTAAAAGGCTTGCCTTGCTGCAGTGAGGGTTGAGGGCCCAGGTCAAATTATAAAACATAAATTTGTATTGGACCCAGTCAAGCACAATTTCATTATTTTCTTAATTTTTATTCAACAGCACATGAATAGGAACAAAGGGAGGAATAATGGGAGTAATCCAAGACTAGGGTTTGGCAGGAAAAGATTGATAAGAGGGTAAGGAACTTAAGAAGAGGAGGATAGTATACAGTTGGATTGGTTCACCAAGGGATCAAGATGGGTAAGGGAGGAGAGTATAACTTGTGCAGAGGTGATGACCTGGGAAAGAACATGAGGGTTAGATGGATTAGAAGTCAGAGTGAGGATGAAAGACAGGATTAGGAGTCATGAGGCAGAGAGAAAGATATAATAATAAAAGATTATGATCGGATAAAGGAGTTTCAGAGTGCATGGAAGGAGAACACTTGTGGGTAATGGAAAGGTCAAGGGTATGACCATCTCTGTGTAGCTGAGTTGAAGTGATGGATAAAATCGTGAAAATTTAGTAAGTTTAAGAACTGGGAAGTTACAATGCCTGAAGAAGTATCAATATATATATGTTGAAGTCCCCTAGTATCAGGGTAGGAGTTGTGGAGGAGAGACTGTGAGCCCGACACTGAATTCATTGAGGGAGGAAGGAGAGTGTCCTGGAGGTTGGTAGATAATAGTTACCAGAATCTTCATTGGGTAATAAATATAGATTGAATGATCCTCAGAGGAGGAAAGGTTATCCCCTTATCACTGTCCCTTTCTTTCTTTCTCCATCCTTTCCCCAGACACCAGGGCCATATTTGAAACTTGTCAGAGCATTGTATTCATTATTACTATATTTGTTCTCCTTTTCTCACTTTAGTCATTCCTTTCTTACAGCCTAAGCAACAAGTACACAGTTAGATTTTTCTTTCTTTCTTTCAGACTGGGAGATCAGACCAGAAACCAAGAAGTCAACTGCAAAGCAAGACATTTCTGAAGAGAAATCATCCCAGAAGGTAACAGTGGAAAGATTCCCAAGGGATAGCATATGGCATTCTAAGCCAAATGAAACCAGATCTGAAGATCAACTTGGGGCCCCACAAGAAATACATGAGAGATATCTAAAACAAACAAGAGTTGCCCAGAATAAAATCCTACCTGAGAAGAAAGCCCCTGAATGTAATCAGTTTAATCTGGACTCAGTTCTTATTATGGAACAGAGTGTTCCCACTGGAGAGAGATATCATGAATATGATATATATGGAAGGACTTTTGAATGTGATTCAGACCTAATTAGCCATGAGAAAATCTGTGTACCGAAGTCTTACGAATGTACTGAATGTAGGAAAATTTTCAGTAAAGGTGCGCTCCTTACACAACATTGGAGAGTCCATACTGGAGAGAAACCCTATAAATGTAATGACTGTGAAAAAGCTTTCAGTAAGGCTACTCTCCTTATACAACATCAGAGAATTCATACTGGAGAGAAACCTTATAAATGTAATGAATGTGGAAAAGCTTTCAGCCAAAGTATATGTCTTACTCGACATAAAAGAATTCACACTGGGGAAAAACCATATGAATGCAATGAATGTGGGAGAGCCTTTAGACTGCGTGGACACCTTACTCAACATCAGAGAATTCATACCGGAGAGAAACCCTATAAATGTAGTGAATGTGAGAAAACTTTTAGTCAGAGTACAGATCGTACTCAACATGAAAGAATTCATACTGGAGAGAAGCCCTATAAATGTATTGAATGTGGGAAAGCCTTTAGATGTAGTACACATCTAACTCAGCATCAGAGAATTCATACTGGAGAGAAACCGTACGAATGTAGTGAATGCAGAAAAGCATTTTGTGATAGGTCATCCCTTAATAAACACCAGAGGATTCATACTGGAGAGAAGCCCTATGAATGTAGTGAATGTGGGAAAGCCTTCATTCGAAGTTCAGACCTTACCCAGCATTACAGAACTCATACTGGTGAGAAACCTTATGAATGTAATGAATGTGGAAAAGTCTTCAGCCTGCACGTACATCTTACTCGACATCAGAGAATCCATACAGGAGAGAAACCTTACAAATGTATTCAATGTGGGAATGCTTTTAGGCACAGTTCAGCCCTGGTCAGACATCTGAGACTTCATAGTGGAGAATAATCCTAGGAATTTAGTAAATAAAAATGTTTCTTTTGGACTTAACCCATATTCAAATATCCTATGGTCATAATAGTTCCAGCTATGATTTTGTTTGGTGTACTTAAATGAGAAATATGCTGCTTCTTCCTCATCTCTTTCCCCCCTGTATATCTTTCTCCCATAGTATATTTCCCAGTTTTTTACAAGGGGTTCTCATCCAATAGCAGTTCCTCTTAAAAGCAGTTTGCTTAGTGACTCATTTAACAGTAATTTGACTAAGTTTATAAGCATTTTGCATTGCTAGGTAGTTTTATTTTTATTTTTTTACCTAATTTTTTGGTTTGGGACTCCTCCACATTTTTGCATTGTTTTTTGGTGATGAAACACCATAAGTAATGTACAAGTCTTAATAGGGTTAAGGAAGTTGATCATTAGATACCGACTTTAAGTGAATTGGCTTGCTCTCCTTGGCACTAGAATTGTATTGGTGTGAATAAGAAGTGGACTTATTTCCAAGTTTTCTTTAAAGATACAGAAATCAATTTATTTTAAAAATGAAACCATCTTTAGACAAGTACACTTCATGAAGCAGTCTGCTGAAGCATGGAAAGTTGGTTATATATGTTAGTAAAAGGAGTACTACCCACTGTGGTAAAATCACGGAGCTGGAAGTGACTTCAGAGATCACCTCTTCTAACCCTCTTGTTTTGCAGATGAGGGAACAGGCCCAGGAAGGGTGAGTGACTTCCTAAGGTCACACAGCTAAGGAGCATTAGATGAGGTATTTGAACCCAGGTCTCCTGACTAGTATCAGTGCTTTTAAGAAAATAGCCTTTGGGGGCAGCTAGCTGGCACAATGGATAGAGTACTGGCCCTGGAGTCAGGAGAACCTGAGTTCAAATTTGACCTTGGACACTTACTAGCTGTGTGACCCAGGGCAAGTCACTTAACCCCAATTGCTCTGTTCCTCCTTCCTCCCTCCCTCTCCCCCCACCAAAAAAGGTCTTTGAGAGCAAAAGAAATGAATACATAAAGGCAGAACTCGTGGTTATGGCAGGTTATGTTACTAGAAGGAAATGTTTTAAGTTTAACATAAGTCACATCAGCTTTTCATGTAGGAACAACAGGTGTCATATTCCTGTCAATATCCTGGTGAATAATTTTTTATAGAAATAAGAACAAAAACTACATATCATTAAATTTTATTGGTATAACTAAATGATATCAAGTTTTATAAAGTATATAATTTGATTTGATGGGCAATTCAGTAACAGCTAAAATTATATTTAATGATAGATGAGAATATATTCTATCAAATTCATATCTGGCCTCCCAACTTACTTTGAATTGTAGCAAATAAGATGAGGGAAAACTTCTATTCACAAAATTCAAAAGATTTCCTTCGACAAGATTTTCCTAGGCACTTGTGGTAAAAAAAAAAAAAAAATTTTTTTTGAGAGATGTAGGGCCACTAAATGGCTTTCTGAGAGACTGATTGAGATATCTGTTTGTTACTTTTATCTTCTCACTGTGAATTACCCCATAGACGAAACCACAGGAATTAAAACATCACTGTGTTGAGCTTTCTGCTGTTTGATCCTGCAGTGTCTCTGCTGTTTCGGATCTACCATTTCATCATCACTAACAGCTTCACCTTGTACTTTAATGTCAGGTGGGGCACACCTGCCCTTCACATCAATGAACCAGCCCTTGCTGGAACTGAATTTTTATTCTTTAGTCTCTTAGCATGTTGTAGATTCATTTAAAAAAAAAAAGCCCTCAAAGCTTTGACATCGTATTGAAATACAAAGGCCATCATCATGATTCTGAATCCACAAAATAAAAAAAAAAAACAGTGTAGGGCATTGGGCAAAGAAGTAGATTTGGAGTTTAAATCCTTGATCTGCTGCTTACTACCTGGGTGATCTTGAACAAGTCACATTATATGTCTAAGCCTAGTCTTCCTCATCCTTAAAGGAGTTAGAGTAAATGATCTCTGAGGTCCCTTTCAGCTCTAATCTATGATCCTTTTACCTCCCCCACATGAATATATCTTCCTCAGTTTCCATAATCTAATCCATAATCGTGCATGTTGTCTTGGAATAGTGGATTGCAATTAGAACCTCTGTTTTTCCTTGCTTCCAGGAATTTTTTAGGATTCCCTACGAGGTATGATAGAGTGTAAGACACTACTCAGTTACTTGAGGAGAGAAGTATGTGTTGGTATAATTGCTATATATTCCATGTACTTGTGTTTGTATTTATATTTGAATCTGTAATTGTGTAAAATTTTATTTTTCCTGATTATTGGAAAAGTGAGACTTTCTTGCTATTTCTGTAATGCCATGTAATAATGAGAGGTTTTCAGAGCCACAAGCCTGGATGGTCTACTCTACAGAGTCCAAGAGCTGATTTTATGCTTTGAGCAACATTAGAATCCAGGCCCAGAGATGCATGGTGTTCTAGACCCTAAAGATTACTGCAACTAGGACGATTCAGCTAAATAAGTTGTTTCGTTTAAATTGAACAAGAATAGAGACTATGGGATGAGATGACAAAGTAAACTTTCAGGGGGATCTAAGTATTTTGGTCTTCAGCCAAGGGGTTTTCTAGGCAGAATATGTGAAGCCTGAATGGAGAAGATGATTTGTGGTTTTGGTAAGCAAATATGCATCAGAAATCAAAGCAGCAAAACTTTCCTGTGGCTATAGACCACTGACATCAATCATAGGTTGAAGTTTCCTATAACTAATCAAAGTGTAGTAACACAAGGAGATACTGACCTTAGCACTTTCACCACCACCACCACCATTTACCACATGAGGAAAGTGGGATTGGGCAGGCCCTGAAGTGCTCTCATTTCTGGTTAGTTGGGAACAACCACGTAGGGACAACATGGAGAAGTGGGTAGAGACTGTGAAAGCACATCTCTCATACCATGTAGTCTGTCAGGATTGGCAGAGGAGTCTGGTACTTCAGGTTCAAGGTTGGAATGAAATGAGACACTCGGAGAACGTGAAGCAGTAAATAGAAGTAGGTCAATAGCCATAGCATGGAAAGGATACCCAACAGGAAGTAGCATTTGTCTCAGGTAGATGTAATCCCCCTTGTCTCCACACAGAAATGTATCTGGTCAGTAGGGCATGGTGTGGTGACTTAGTTGGAACATCCACCAAGTCTACAGGTGACCAGGAAGCCACATCAGTCATTACCCCCTGGGTCAAACACCTCTCAGGGTCAGTTTATCCTATGTGGCAGTCACTCGGATAGATACTCCTTCTACCATGCCTCTTATGACAAGGAACTACAGGTCTTCTATGGGACCTCTCTATTAAAAGGACATAGGACTGTTACTGGACAACCTTAATCTCTGGAATGGGAAAAGCCTAGTATAGGCAGCACAGGGGAGGGGTGGGAACTAAACCAGAAAGATAGAGGAAAAAATATCAAGAACCCCCTGCAGGAATGTACAATATGGAAGAGATTGAAGAGTTGAAATCCCAGACATTGCTTTTCCCCCTTTAGGAGAAACCAGTCCCAGATTTAATGATCTGTTCTATGTGGCATATGCCGTCCATAATGGTTTTGTCTGGTGATGAATAGCAGGAACAGCTTCAGAGGTACCAGGGCCACAGCACAGATGGTGACACTTCTAGCCCAGTCACCAATTATCACACATCACAGTCGTCTGTAATAAAGTAGCTATGAGGTCATTACTCTTATTATGTGTAGTCTGAACAGATGCAAGCATTGATTCTAAGTTTTCCTGTATTAGAGCCTTAGGGAACAGGACTGGATGATCATGGACTCCTACCTTTCAGGACCTCTCCTTTCTAGGAAGTTCCATGGGGATGGTAATACCAAAACTTTCACCCTTTAGAGGCCTCTGCTAAGGCCTCTTCTTTCTGCCACTTCTTTGGAGGGAGCTGAATAATCTCCTTTACCTTCATTGAAAAATTAAGGATTACCATTAAGTTGGTTAAGGGACCCCTTTCTTCCAAATAAATAGAAATTCATCATCATTATGAGTCAGTTGAGACAATTTCACCTCCCCCATTCTGTTGGGAATCCTAGCATTTTCCAACAATACTGTACCTTGTTCCCCCAAACTCTCTGGGAAGGAGTTGTGTGAACTATCCTTGGGGACAGAAAGCCCTATCATTTGAGGGGAACCTGAGCCATTTACGAAGATTTATGGAGTCACCTGAGAGGGCAAAGGCCTCGAGGCTTGGACAACTACAGGGGACAGAATAAGGAAGGACCAGAGAGGGTCAACCAAAACCATGTCCAAAAGTATTCTTATCAGGCAAGTCCTGGAAGCTGGATCTAAGAAACTGCTGAACTAAAAAACCTTTCTTCCTATCATGGCATTGATCATCATGACTATGGCTTCTGGGAAATGGGACACTTGACTCGTGGTAGTCAGGAGCATGATGACCAAGCTGTTTATTAATAGTTGCAAATATCTTGCCTTGATATGGGAGAAGAGGGCCAATTTGCTAGTTTAGGACAGGTGAAGAACCAAATGAATTTTCAAAAACATTCTCCCCCAGATGGTGCTCTAGATTGTGTCCAGAATAATCTAGGTTCTTATCCACTGTATTCCCAAACACTTGACTGGGCAGGATGAACTGTGGCTTTTCTTAGGTTTGATCTTCCACTACTACAGGCAACACTGGAGGAGAGGAATCCTATATATGAGCCACCTATCTAGGGTCTCTTGCTACTGTGGATTTGTCTGACCCAGTCAATATCACACCAGTATAGTGGGTATATGAATATCCTTGGCAAGTAGGGGCTTTCAGGACTCTGCACATCAGAATCTGGTAGTGAGGAAAATTGAGATAGCACTTAGGGGGAGTGAAGATCAAAGCAAAGGGTTACTGAATAGTGTCAGACACAGGAATAGAGAAAAAAGGCATTAGTGAGATCAATAACCCACTGGAGCCAAGGATAGGACAGATATGGCAATGAGCATGACAACTTATGCAGGTCCCTGTAGTTCACTGTAAGCTTCTAGGTGGATTGCACCTAGATTACCCTTCCTTACTGGCCACTCAGCTTTGTTGTAAAGGAAGTTGGTTTGGTAAAATACTCTAGTCTACATTTTCATAACTTGAGACAAAATGATTTCACTTCCACGTGGGATTAGGTATCATTTGATATTTAAGTACTTGGGATGGCTTGGGCAGTTCAAAAGCTTTCCATTTGACCCTATCCACAATAACTACCATAGAGGTTGCTGAAAGGGCCCATATAGGTACCAACTCCCAAGAGCCTGATGTTCTTTCCCTTGGAGTCCTGCCTGAAAAGTGTCCCATGGACTGGGGGGCCCTACTAGGCCCATGGGGGGGGGGGGTCACCTGGTATAGTAATAGCCTGGCTACCAGTGGCCAGAAGCCTCTTATATACAAATAGAGCATGAAGCTTTAAGGAATGCCTTAGACTTGAGTAGGACTGAAAGGACTTCACAACTTTTAGGTTGGACTTTGTAATACTGTTTAACCTGAACCCTCATAGGCTAAGGATTGGTTGCCTCTGTGTCAATCCCATGTGTAGGAGCCATATCCAAAGCTAAGAGGGTCAGGGAAGGGGTACTGTGGGAAGTTTGAGGAGAAACTAGAAGATCTGGAACAGATGTTGTGAAGAGTGGGATAGTGACTTGATTAGGAAGTGGAATGATTATCTTGCTGTAGTGAGGGCCAAGAAAACTCCAAATGGGGTCACAAAAAGTCAGACACAACTCAAATGACAACAAAAATATTTTCAATAAATTTTAAGTTCATTTTAAGGAAGCTAAGTGACACACTGGGTAGAGGGCTGGGTCTGGAGTCAGGAAGACCCAAATTCAAATCCAGCTGCAGATACTAGCTGTGTGTAACCTTGGATGAGCCATTTAAGTTGTGTGCCTCAGTTTCCTCAACTGTAAAATGGAGAACACAATAGCACCTACCTCACAGGGTTGTTGTAAGAATCAAATAATATTTGTAATAGCACAGTGCCTGGCACATAGTAGATACTAGGTAAAGGCTCTGACCCCCACCCCCAAGTGCTTGGCAAACCTTAAAACACTACATACCAGATTTCACCACATATCACCACCACCGTTTTTGTTTGTTTTTTTCAGTCTAAAAATTGGTTTATAACCTTTCATCATGGTATAATAACTCAGTTCGTTACACCGCTTAAAAAGTAAACAGCAGCAATGTATGAGCCTAGAATTCTCAGCACACGTGCATTGTCAGTATATTTTTCTTTTTTTTTTTTTGTTTTGTTAGGCAATTGAGGTTAAGCGACTTGCCTAGGGTCACACAGCTAGTATGTGTCAAATGTTTGGTCTGAGGTCACATTTGAACTCAGGTCCTCCTGACTTCAGGGCCATTACTCTATCTACTGCGCCACCTAGCGGCCCCTGTCAGTATATTTCTGAAAGCTGACTTTGGTGGTTTGTTTAGAGCGCTGCAGTATTGTTACTCAACTGAATAAAGAGCTGAGGGCGCAAGGGGAACAGATGGGCTGGCAAAGCTGCCATGAGTAAGTCCCGTGATATGGTATGGCCTGCATCTTCCCAATTTTAACATATTCATGAGTATTCTGTGCATCTTAATCTTGCACCAAAGACAGTTTAGTAATAAATGATTTTTAAGTAATACCAGCACAATTTAAAAAAAAAAAAACTTCGCATAACGATCACACACCAGTTTTTGGCAAACAAAATTTGTCATAAAATCTGCGACAATTATACAATGAAATTGAGTAAATGCTAGCTGTAGAGGCCTTATCTTATTCATCATTGTATTCTCCATAAGTTAGCATAGGTGTAATTTAGTTGCATTCAGACTCAAAAGACCTAAGTTCAGGTTTCTCTATCACAGCAAAGTTGTATGGACTCCTCAGGCTGTTTCTTGCTCTGTTAAAGGGATAATACTTATATCTATTAATATTTTCCCTATTACAGTGCTATTGTGAGGCTCAAATGAGATGATAAAACCAATGATAAAGACTCTTTGTAACCTTAAATTGTTACGTAACTGAATTATTACACTAACCTACCCCATAAATATTTGTTGACAAAAAAAGAATCAAAATGTTTATTTTTGATCCTTCCTAAAGGAAAGGAAAGAGAACAAAGAAAGCTATCAGGTATACGTTAATCTCTATGCCCAGGGTGTTGGGCCTAGAGTCAGGAAGACTTGAGTTCAAATACTGCCTTAGACAATTACTAGCTGTATGATCTCAGGAAAGTTATTTAACCTCTGTTTGCCTCAGTTTCCTCAACTGTAAAATGGACATAATAAGAGCACCTACATTGCAAGGTTGTTATGAGAATCAATTGAGATTATTTGTAAAGTATTTAGCGGTGTCTGGTACATAGTATGTGCTATATAAATGCTTATTCTCGTCTCCGATTAAGGACCTATTATATGCCAGGCATTATGCTAAGCACTAGGGATATAAAGGCCAAAAAACAACCAAACCAAACAGTGCCTTGCTCTAAAGAAGTTCACAGTCAAACGAGGGAGAAAATATGCAATAACTATGTACAGCTGACATTTACAGGATAAATTGGAGATAATCAACAGAGGGAAGGCACTAGCATTAAGGGAGATCTGGAAAGGCTTTTTATAGAAGGTGGTGCCAGGTTGAGGAGTACCTTTTATTTTAGAGTTGTGAAGGCACTAATGGGGGCAGCTAGGTGTCGGAGTAGATAGAGAACTGGGCTTGGAATCAGGAAGGCTCATCTTCATGAGTTCAAATGTGGCCTCAGACACACTAGCTGTGTGACCCAGGGCAAGTCACCTCACCCAGTCTGCCTTAGTTCCTCATCTATAAAATGAGATGGAATAGGAAATGGCAAACCATTCAAGCGTCTTCGCCGAGAAAACTCCAAATGGGGTCACGAAGAGTCGGACAGCCTGAAACGTTGGGCAAACTAAATAACAACAAAAGGTGCTGATGAAGGGTTTTTAGTTGAGGAGCTGTGCTTTAGGAATATCATTTTAGCAGCTTTGTGACAGGATGGATTGGAGGCAGAAAAGATTGAAGGGAGGGAGGCCAATTAGGAAGGTGAGTCTAGGTGAGAAGTGATGAGGGCCTGAAGACCTGAAATAGGGAAGAGGGCCTGTGGGTAAAGAAAAGTGGGTTAAAGTGAGAGATGTCATAGAGGCGGACATGGCTTGTCACCTGGTTGTATGGGTAGACAGTGGCAGGAGAGAATAAAGAACGACTGATGTCGGGAAACTAGGTGACTGCCCTTAATGGAGGTGCCCCATTGGGAAGTGTGGAAGAGCGTTTTGAAGTCCTATTTCTTGGGTTCCGTCTTGTCCCTCTGATATCTCTAGTGGATTAGACATCATTTCTCCTTGTAAATAACGCTATTACCTTTCCCCCAATCAGACTGTTTCCTCAGGTCCTAAAGCTCCTTAAAGTACCCTCTTGGCTTCAACCCAAAAAAGCCACTTCCATCCTTGCCTACTCCTCCCCATGGATTTGGTTTCCTCGGCTTGTTCCCACCTACGACCCTCGAGGTCGTACTTCCATTTCCGTTTCCGTTCAGGAAAAGAAAGAAGCCGATTCAGCTGCCAAAGAGGCAGACCGAGGGCCTTGAAAGGTGGAGCGAGGATAGAGACTGCATTCTGATTGGTGCAGAGACCTTCGCTTCCCCGTTCTTCCTCTTAATTTAAGGGATAGTGCTAAGCTTAACTCTTGGCTATGCCTTCGATGGGAAGACCAGAGTAGTCTTTCACATGGTAACAAGGGATAGGACGTGGCCGTACCAACCACTAGGACCTTCTCGAAAACAGTCCCCATAGCAACAAAGCAGAAGAACTCTAGCCATTCTGGAAGTTGTAGTCCTTTGGTTCCCTAGGCGCAGGCGCACTTTCGAGGCTCGTCTGAGGATGCGCGCGCGTCCCCGTCGCCATGATTGGTTCTTCACCCCGAACCAGTTCCTTATCGGAGGGCAGTCCGGGTCCCAGTGCCAGGTATTTAATGACCCGGCCCGATCCTTGACCCCGCCCCGAGCCAGAGCTGGGCGGATCCGGAAGGGATCTGGGACCGAGTGAGGGAGGGGGGCTGGTTTAAGATGGAGAAATCTGGTGTGTGTGACAGACTCCCGTCAGAATGTCGTCCCGAAGCTGTTCGGGCCGTCGGACGCCAGCGCCTTGTGCCTCCCGAAGCAGGGGGGCTTCGGCGCGTGCAGGGACAGACCCTGATTTCTTCCACCTCGTGTGTGCAGCGCCCCCGCTGGCCCAGAGCCTGAAAAACAGTGGCGCCCATTAGATCATCTCCTCCATCCTTAGAGCACCTTGTACTCACTTGTATGCCCATGTTACACCCCCGGAGAATGTAATCTCCATGAGATCCGGAACTGGCTTGTTTTTGTACCTGTATCCCTAGTGCCTTGCATATATAGTAAGTGCTGTTAAATGTTTGTTGAATTAAATTAGATATTTTATGAAAGCATGAAACTCATCAGGTGCCCATTCGTTAGCCTGGCTCTCTGGCTATCCCTTCAATGCTATGTAGGAATTTGAGGCATTTTGAAGAATTTGATATTTCTGGTCTGCTAATTTTATCTTCTCTCTGTGTCCACAGCAGTCCTGCGTAGAATCTATAGTTATCTAGCCTGGAGCTTCAGAGGAAGCGTTCTGCTGAAGAGACAGATACCTCAGCCCCTGAGTGAAAATCTCAGATGATATGACTTTGCCTCTAAGACCCTTAGGCCTTCGGAAACAAACAGGAATCAGTCCCAGAAGCAGATCCATTTGGCCTTAGACCTTTGGCAGAAACTTCAAGAGGGAGCTGGTCCTTGAGTGGTTGATGAATTTACAACCATCTTGCCTGGCTAAAGAGGACTGGAGTGACTTAAGAATATCTAGAATAGGAAGTGTGACTTTCAAGGATCTGACCCAAATGCTTGGGGAGAAAGGTGAGACTAAAAAGAAGTGTGGAGAAGAGATGTGGATGAGCCAGAGAAAAGGTTATAGACCAGTTGCTAGGGTTTTGTCCCTGTTGAAAAGTAAACATTCTTTTTATCTGGAATTACCTTCCTTTTTAGAAAGTTTATTCAGTGAAGGAGGTACCATACTTTCTGGATTGGGATATTGTATGGGAATAAAATTCTCCCCAGCATTGCACTCTTACTCCACATTTGACAAATGATGATTCTGAGAAGGGACCAAAAGCAGAGTATTCTAAAATCCTTCAAGAACCAAAGCCTGGGATAGAAAGAATGGAAATTTCTGAGACTGTGAATCCTGAAACAAAAGCATATAGCCAAACACTTTGGCTTTAATGGGTGCTCTGCAAGATAGTAGATATCATATTTATAAAAGCTTTCCAAACTGAGCTTCAGCTTGTCTGGTTGAACTTGGAAGTGAACTCTGGCTTGAGACTATGATTGTAATACCTAGAACCTGCTAGGACCATAAGCGTGGAATGTAGCCCAAGCTGATATTAGTCACACATATTAGTTGTACATATCTTGTTTGTACATATTTATTTGCTGATATCTCCCCTGTTAGATGGTGTGCTTCTTGAGGACAAGGACTTTTACCTCTTTTTGTATCCTTAGCACTAAGCACAGTACATGGCACATGGTAGGCATTTAATAAAGAATTATTGACTGACTGACTGACTGACAGTATCATGAATCCGTTCTGATCCTGACTAGCAGATGGGACTTCTACTGGGTTCCATTTGACTTTTCTTTCTCTCCACAAGGTGTGTGGAAGTCACAGTCAATTGCACATTGAAGATTTCTAGTCTATTGAGTGTGGGAACCACAAGGCCAGAAAATATCTCATGATTCCTTCCTCTTCCACAGTTCTGTCTTCTCAGAAATATGCATTTATCCAAGAGGGAAACATTGAGGAGCAAAGAAAGGCCTCTGAATTCCTTACAGCCAGGTTCCAGGTGAGTTGAGAATTGTTGGTTTCGGTCTTTTCCCCTTCCAACTCTGACTCTCTCTGCCCTCAAATGGCATCTCCTGTTTGAGGATAGAACATTTCCTTCCCGCACCTAGGAGTATGACCCATCCAGAAGGGAGCTCCAGTTGTTCTGTTCTAGGAGACTGGAAATGTGGCCATCTTATATAGTGCCATTTCACAGTGACCTCCTCCTCCTCACTAGGAATCTACCACATATAAGGTTATTCAGTTCTACTGTGTGCCCAGTACTGTGAGCTTGTGAACAAAAAAAAAAAAGAAAGAAAAAGAAGAAGCAAAAGACATAATCCTTGTCCTCAAGAGCCTTGCACCTTTTTTTTTTTTTGTCAAGGCAGTTGGGGTTAATCAACTTGGCCAGGGTCGCACAGCTAGTAAGTGTCCTGTTTCTGAGGCCGGATTTGAACTCAGATCCTCCTGACCCCAGGGCTGGTGCTCTATCCACTGTGCTACCTAGTTGCCCTGGCCCTGCACTTTCATTGGGGAAAATATGTAGATGGAAAAAATAGATATTGATGTACCCTTTCTAGAGGCAATATAATATTGACTGATTACTCTTCTCAGAGCAAGAGGTAGAAAGAGGCATTGCAGAGGGCTGGGAAGGAAGGATAGAAAATGATAGGGGAAGGTAGATGAAGATGAGAATATGTGCTTCAGAGAATGTAGAACTGAGTTGGCAGGATAAAGTTCAGAAAGACAATTCAACAAACTTAATCACGTGCAAGACTCTAAATGAGGCTCTGGGGAAACAAATATTTATATTACACAGGTCCTGCTTTCAAGGAGCTCACAATCTAATGAGTAAAAAGAGAAATACACCAAAACTTTTGATTCAAGAAGGAATGAGGTTGGTTGCAAAGGAGAGATTTGGGAAGAATGAGGAGGGGAGAGATCACTTTCCTTTTTGGTTTAAGGAGGGGTGGGTTCAGGGAAGGCTTTATAGAGGAAGCATTAATTGATTTTTAGTCTTCGAAGGAAGAGAGGTACTTCAGTAGCTGGAGAAAGTTAATAAGGGTAACTTAAAAATCTCCTAGAGCTTATTTCAGTTATGAATTTCTTAATCTGAATTTGGTTGTAACTGAAATCAGAATTGTTTCTGTAAGCTACGTAAAGAAGTCACTCATCATATGTCATTTAACCTCCTGTCTGTGTATAAATAAGTGTAACCTCATGTGCTAAACTAGGCTGAGAGTAACTGAGGGGCCTCAAACCCATCAGTGAGTTAGGGGGGTGTCTATCCCAAGCATGTGAAGACATCCCTCAGCAGAATGGGCAGATGAGTATGATTGGTTCCAACAGCCATGAAAGCAGGCACTGTGGAGTGCTTAGAGGTTAGTTAGACATTGTAGACACCGAGGTCATCCACTGCATCCTGAGCCATCACCAGTTGTCTCGACTTTTGTCTTGCCACTGGACTCTGATGACGCTGGAAGAGAGAGTGAGGCCAATGACTTGATGCAACTTTGCCTCACTTAAAATCAATTTATGCATCTGTCAAAAGATATCACCCATGCCATTTTACCATTTTTACCTACCTCAGAGTCCTGTGGTGACAGGCAAATGATGAAGCAGTAGGTGCAGATGCACTGCGAGCTGTAGTCACAACTCTGCACGAAGGCAGCCCAGGCCTTAGAGTCATCTACTCACTGGACTAAAGCAGCAGTGGGATTCGGTGTGAGTAGTCTTTTTTAAGACTGCACTACTCACCTCCTGGTGTGAGGAAGGGGCTAGAAAAGGTGCCCTAAAAATTGTCTGCTTTACGTAACCTGCTTATTACCATGGCAGGTGGAGATCTTCTCTGTGGTCAAAACACAAAAAAATGTGCAAAAACTTTTGTGAAGATGATTCCACCCACCATTGGTACATGGAATGTGTTCACACTTATGTACAACAAGAAATCCAGTGGACTTGAAAGATGAGCAGCTCTTGCTCTGTGAGAACTCAGGTATCACATCCAAATAGCAGCCCTGAATGAAACAAGGCTGACAAATGAAGGCTAGCTTACCAAAATCAAAGCTGAATACATGTTTTTTTCTTGAGTGGCTGCAGTGATGGGGAGTGCCATGAAGCTGACATAGGTTTCATAATCAAAACAATCTGGTCATCAAGCATGTATGCCTGCCAAAAGGAGTGATTGCTCTACTTACAGGAAAGCACCACACCACCAGTCATTAGTGTGTATGTTCCCACCATGACACTGATGAGGTCAAAGAAAAATTTTATGAAAACCTGAAGACCCTTATCATCAGTGTGCTGAAAGATGACAATCTTATAATTCTGGGTGACTTTAATGCCACAGTAGGCACAGATTATTAGACATGGCAGAGAGTCCTTAAGAGAAACAGCAACAGCAATGGTCACAAGGCTTGTGTGTCTCATGGCCTTCTCATCACCAACACTGTATTTCATTTACCTAAATGCAATAAAACTATGAATGCATCCTCATAGCACACATTGACTTTTAATAGACTATGTCTTTCTGGGGCAGCTAGGTGGCACAGTGGATAGAGCACCAGCCTTGGAGTCAGGAGGACCTGAGGTCAAATCCGGCCTCAGACACTTGACACTTATTAACTGTGTGACCCTGGGCAAATCACTTAACCCTTTTGCCTAGCCCAAAAGAAAAACAGACTATGTCTTTCTAAGGAGAAGAGATAGGATGTGAGAGTGATGAAGGTGATGTGATGTGTGGCACAAAGTGCTGGACCAGTCATAGATTTATCCTCTCCAAGCTAAACATTCACATTCAACAAAAGTGGTGGCAAGGCAAGAAGACTACCAGAAGACTTAATGTCAGTGGATTGGCGTGCTTCTCTCTATGTATACAGTTTGTTGCTAATTTGGAGGGAAAGCTGAGTCAACACAGTTGGCAACAGCAGAGCAGAAAAGGAATGGAAAGCTTTCAGAGGTTTGGTATACAGCAGCTCATTTACTCATCTGAGCCAGAACACTCACAAATATCAAGATTGGTTTGAGGAGAGTAACAGGGAAATTCAGAAGCTGCTAAACAAAAGACAAGAACGCCACCAGGTTTACCAGCAGGATTGTTCATCCATCCCTAAGAAGGCAGCATTTAACTCCAGTGAAAGTAAAGTACAAGCAAAACTTAGAGATGTGCACAATTCTTGACTCAGTAAGAAAGCAGATGAAATTCAGTTTTATACAGATAGTAACAATCCACAGCACTTTTATGATGCCGTGAAGGCTATATATGGGCCAAAGATCTATGGTGCATCTTAACTACTCAGCTCTGATGGAGTCACTTTGGTTAGTGATCAAGGATATGTTCCTGGAGAGATGGGTTGAACACTTCCATGGTGTTCTCAACCGACCATCATCAACCAATGCTGAAGCCATTGACCATATACCTCAGGTTGAAGTCAATCCCTCTCTAGCCAAACTTGCCATTAGATTCCTCTCATGTGGCAAAGTGCCTGGTACTGATTTTATTCCAGCTGAGATTTATAAGGCAGGGGGTCCACTGCTCATACAAAAGCTGACAAAAATCTTCTGAGTTATATGACAAGAGGAGGTTATCCCCCAGGAGTTCAAGGATGCTCAATGGAGCATTGAGGCATTTCTATAAAGGAAAAGGAAATAAGTTGACCTGTGACAATTACAAGGGGTCGTTGCTGGCAAGATTCTTGCCAGAGTCCTCCTTAATAGGCCCCTTCACCTGAGAGATGGTCATCTACCTGAGAGCCAGTGTGACTTCAGAAAGGGCCAAGGAGGAATTTACATGGTGTTTGTTGACCAACAACTCCAGGAGGAATACTAAGAGCAGAACAGATTTCTGTACACAACATTCATTAATCTGACCAAGGCCTTTGATACTGTCATTCATTTGGACTTGTGGTAGATCTTGGCAAAATTTGGTTGCCCAGAGAAGTTTATCAGTGTTGTACATCAATTCCATGATGGCGTGCTTGCCCTGATTCTGGATAATGGCTGATGCTTTCGAGCTTTCCCAGTCACCAATAGGAAGATTCTGAAGATCACCTGGCAAGATATGGTACCTGACACTGAGGTCCTTTCTTCAGCTGAATTTCCAAGCATTCATATTCTACTGCAGAGAATGCAACTGTGATGGGCTGGCCACATTGGTTGAATGCCAAACATACATTTGCCTAAAAGACTATGAGAACTCACACAATGCAAATATACACAGAGGTGAAAAGTGATACAAGGACACTCTCAAGGTGTCTCTGAAGAACTTTGGAATTAATTGAGAGACATGGGGGATAATGGCACAAGACCACCCAGCTTGGCGTGCGTGTGTCAAAGAACATGCTGTGCTGTTTGAGCAAAGCAGAATTGCAGTAGCTCAAAAGAACTTGAGATGCATAAATTTAGAGACATCTCTGAACCAAATGTTCATGTGGACTATTTGTGCCTGACCTGTGGTAGAGCCTACTGATAGACACACCATACCTTGACTCCAACATGGTGATTTCAGTCCTTTTCGAGCATGAAGAACAACTACTGCAACTATCATCCTATAACTCTTCATCTCTTTGTAGATAAACATCTTGAAAGGGCCTTTTACAATAGGTACCTCCATTTTCTCTCCTCTGATTTTCTTCTTAACCCCTTAATATTCAGCTTCTGACCTTATCGTTCCAATGAAACCAGTTACCAGTAATCTTTTGGTTGCCAAATCCAATTATCTTTTTTCAGTCTTCGTCCTCAACCTCTCTTCAGCCTTTGACAATGTTGGTCACTCTCTTTTCCTTGATACGCTCTTCTTTCTGGGTTTTCTCTTCTGGTTTTCCTCCTTCCTATCCAACCCAGGATGAACAGCCAAAACAGAAATGAGACCTAGTGAAAAGCAAACTTTTGAAGTTTGTAATATAACTTATTATAGAGAAGTTAATATTTCTGGCACTTAGTAGTTGTGATTTCTGAGCCTCACTTTCCTAATATGCACAATGAAAGTAATACTTTGACTACCTACTAGTGTTATAAAGAGGAAAGTATTTTGTAACTTTAAGTAGTATGCAAAATGTTACCTATTATTAACTGTATCATGTAATATGCTCTTAATTAAAAAAGAAGAGACTATTATTAACATAAGCTACTATTAAAACATCCAGGAGGTTTGCAGCAATATCATTCTCAATATGCTCAAACATTGCAACCCCACATCCACCCCACCAGATGTCCAGACCTATTGCTTTAAATGCCTATGATGTACACCAGGTTATTCCACTTATGCATGGCCCTAATATAAAATTATGGCTTCTAGCCACTAAATCCATGTTTGTATATATCTGGGCCCCATAGGCTTTTCCCAGTAACTAAAGATGGATAATAGTCACAAACAATGATTTTAGGAAGTCCTTATCATCAATACAGAGGTATAATTACCCCTACTTTTTTGGGCCAGAAAAAGAATGGAATGCCGTATGATGACCACAGGGCCCAGATAAAGCCCTTTCATAAGTGGTCTTGATTATATTCTCCCAGTACCTGTCACTCCTTTTCATTTACTGCATAAGTGGCAGCAGGTTGGAAGGATGATCATGCTTGTGTCCCAGGAGAACAGCTAGGCTCTTTCCTAATGAAAAATCTCTTTCAAGACCTAGTGTTCTTCATGTATTATCCAATAGTTTCCTGAGGCAAGGCAACTGCTGCTGAGGTTGATTCTTAAAGGGGCTTGAGAGCCTTTTCAGGGAAGGTACATCATTGCATGATCCAGTCTTAATGTAGAGGGAATTTGTGATGCTGCAGCCATTGTAGCCTGAACACAGTTCATACTGTATGCATCTTGACTTTCCCCCAAGACTATCTGGCCTGAGTGATCTCCTCACCTGTCATGTTACATAGCCTTGTTATGAGATAATGTAGTATGGCTGTTAAAAAACAGATAAGTCTTCTACTTTATTAATACGTCTACAGTGGGGCAAATAGGTGGTGCAGTAGATGGTACACTGTACTTGGAGTCAAGAAGACCCAAGTTCAAATCCTGCCTTAGACACTTAATACTATGTGAAACATGACATGTCACTTAACCTTTGTTTACCTTAGTTTCCTCAACTGTAAAGTGAGGATAATAATGGTACCTCCCTCACAGGGTTGTTGTAAGGATCACATAAGAGAATATTAGCAAAAAAGTGCTTAGTACAGTGCTTGACACGTAGTAAAGGCTATACAAATGCTTATTCCCTTCCTTTTCTCTTCCCTATGGTTCTGAGAATAAGGAAGGGAAAAGATAGACCTTCTACTGTGTTGTTTCTTGGTCAGACTTTATGTAGGATATCATGTTCTGTTCTTCATGACATATTTTAAAGGAATCATTGATACACTAGAACACATCTAGAAGTGGGTGACCAGCATGAAAAAAAGTCATATGAGAAATTGTTAAAGAAACTAGAATGTTTAGCCTTGAAAAAATTTAGTCAAGCTATAATAGTTGCCTTCAGTTATTTGAGAAGCTGATACATAAAAGATCAATTTGATTTATTCTTTGTCCTTCCAAAGGAGACAGCTAGGAATAATGGATAAATATTCTAGGGAGGCATATTGCTGCTCAATAGAAGAAAGAAATTCTAACCTTTAGAGAATCACAAAGATGCATTGGGCTGCCTTATGAGACAATGACCTCACTGAAAAATTCAAGCATAGGTAAGATAAAGATACTTGACTGGAGGTAGATGTTATAGTCAGGGTTTCTTAACTTATGGTCCATGAACTTGATTTTTAAAAATATTTTGAAAATTATATTTCAATATAATGTATTTATTTGTATTCCTATGTAATTAATTTTATGCATTGAAAAGCATTATTCTGAGAGGGATTCATAGGCTTCACTGGAACGCCAAAGGTGTTCATGACACGAAAAAAAGATTAAAAACCCCTGTTGTAGTGAGTATTCCTCTGTTGACTAGAAGGTTGTATCAGATGGCCTCCAAGATCCTTTTCAACTTCATAGCTCTGTAATTCTTTTGTGAAGTCTTCCTTAGCTACCTAAACCCATATGGACTTCTTTTCTCTCTCCTGTGTACTTAATATCTATACCGTGCAGTTTAGCACTTTAATAAGTAATGTCTTGTCTTGTTCTACACTTGTAACATGTGTATGTTTTTCTCCCAGTTAAAACTAAGTCCTTTGAGAACACTATGTCTCAACCATATTTTGTACTTCTTATGTGATCAGAAAAGGTACTAGAAGGTAATTAAATAGTAGCAAATTAAATAATTTACTTAATTTAGAATAATCAGTTTCTGGATTACCATAAAAATTTAATAATCCTGTTTACTGCTTTTGATGCTGCCAACTTTCTCCGGTTTCATTCAGTGGATTTCCCTAGGTTAAACAAGGATGTATTTATTTGTCATTTCAGGAATCACTGACGTTCAAGGATGTGGCTGTGGACTTCACCCAGGAGGAATGGCAGCAACTGAAACCTGATCAGAGATACTTGTATAGAGATGTAATGCTTGAGAACTATAGGAACCTGGTCTCTTTAGGTAAGGGAGGCTTTCCTGTGTATCTAAGCACCAACATTTCCATTGAGCACCATTTTTTCCTAAGTTACCAAAAGTTATGATGCTTCTGACATGTGTCAGAATCCAAAGTTCAATGATCCTATATTCCTAATCCCTTTGTAGCAAAGAAACAGAGTACACCTTTCCAGGGAAAGATCCATATTTTGTACAGTAAGAAAAAAGTACTCTTTATGTACTGGCTATTATGTTATACCTTTCTTATATTTCATAGGTCTTGAGGAAAAAGTTTTGGGGATTTTTCTGGAATAGTACTTTTTTCTAACAGAAACACTCAAATTTTTTGTCTTTCTATATGGACAGGACATCAGGTTTCCAAACCAGATGTGATCTCCCAGTTGGAACAAGGAGAAGAGCCTTGGACAGTAGAAAGAGAAGTCTCCACATATTCTTGCCGAGGTAGGTAAGAAAAGGAAGTAGATGGAGTGTTTATACATAACAGTTATGACAGTCAAAATCTAATAAATTATAGAGTTTTATAGTTTTACAGTTGAATGGTATCTTAGAGGTTATTTTGTTTAATGCAAGAACCACCAAATACAGGAACCCCTAAGGCAAAGAAAACCAAGATAAAGAGAAAGTCTGCATTGAGGCAGAAGACATGTTGGGGCCAATGAAGAGACTTACATCTAAGTCTCCTAGTTTTTTGTCTGAGGTATAATTTTCAGACTCAAGAATATGGAAAGAAGTGATTATGTAACTTCTCTAAAAGATCTAAAAGTCCAGCCTTTGCTTGATCATTTCAAGGGATAAAGAGCTCATTACTTTGTGAGGTAATCTCTTCATTTTAAGACAGTTATGATTACTAGGTTCTTAATATTGATCTGAAATTTGCCTTCTGGAAGCTGCTTCTTATTTACTGATCCTAATTCAATCCTCTGGAGCAAAGCAGAATGTCTTCTACCTGTTCAGCCCTCTATCTCATGGTGATAACTCCCAATATAGACAATTCTGTTGTAATTTATAGTCTTGCTTAAATTATTTGCCTATGTTCTTACCACTGTTATGTATCAGGGCTTGAACCTGTAACTTAACTTCCTAGCTCCAAGGCCAGCCCTCTATCCTCTACAATATGCTACTTTTCATGTAATTATAATAAAAGCATAGAAAGGAAAGATCAAAGCAAGGAGTCAGAGAAACTTTTTTTTTTTTAACAGTTGAACATTTGTTTCCTAAGGAGTATTTTTGTTTGTTTCTTGGGAAGAGGAATAGACATATTCCAAGTAAAGAGAATAGGATGAATAAAAGCTTGGAGTGAGGAATTACTTTAGTATCAATCAGCAGGCATTTATTAAATCACTACTATGTCGGGACACTGTGCTTAAGTGCTTGGAATACCTTCTACAAAGAAGCCTTTCCCAGGCCTCCCTAATCTTAGTGACTTCCCTCTGAGCTTATCTCCGGTATATATCTTGTTTGTATGTTGCCTCCCCATTAGTCTGAGAGCTCCTTAAGATAAGGGACTGTGCTTTTTTCATTAATACTTCTTGACTTGACATAGATAAAAAACCATGAAGAAATCTCTCTTCCCAAAGAACTTATCTTTGATTGGCTTTTTATAACATCTATTAAATGTGCCTGGAACTGTGTTAAGCACTGTACAAATATTATCTCATTTGATCTTCACAACAAGCCCCAGAGGTAGGTACTATTGTGTTCCTCATTTTACAATTGCAGAAACTGAGGCAAACAGGTTAAGTGACTTGCCCAAGGTTACACAGTAAGTATCTGATGCTGGATTTTGAACTCAGGTCTTCCTGACTCCAGGCCCAGCATTCTAGCTACTGTGCCATCTATCTACCTAGTATGTAGATGTATAAGAAGATACAGAGTAAACATACTGTGTATGGAATAAATATAAAATAAGAGGTCATTAGAAAGGCAGGACATTAGTAATTGGGGTAGGAGGGAGGGGTGCGGAGAATCCGGAAAGACTTTGCTCTTGAATTGCATCTTGAATGAAGTGAAGGATTCTGTGAGGCAGAGGTAAAAAGGGATTATATTCCAGGCTTGGAGAATGGCCAGTACAAAGGCACAAGTACAGAAGAAAGTGCTATGTATGAGAGTCAGAGAAGAGGCCAGTTTGGCTATACTGTAGAGTCTGGGAAAGGGAATAATTTATGAGGCTAGAGAGATAGGATGGGGTCAAGTGGCAAAAGCAAAATAGAGCAGTTGATATTTTATCCTAAAGGCAATAGGGACTCAGTAGATTATATTGAGTAGGGAAGTAACATGATCAGATCCATGCTTAAGGAAAAACTCTTTGGCAGTTATACAGAGGATGCATTATAAAGAGACTTGAGGCAGGGGGACCAATTGGAGACCATTATAATAGTCTAGGCTATAGCATGTGGGAGATAATTAAGAGAGTGCTTGACTAATAGTATTACTGTCATAAATTATAATAGTTGATTTTCATATAATGTTTCAAGGATTACAGGGTATGATTCATATATTATGCTAGTTAACCCTCATAACAACCCTATCATGTAGGTATTATTATTTCCATTTTACAGATGAGAAAATTGAGGCTCAATGAGGTTAAGTGACTTGTGCATTATTATACTGTCTTTTTCTTTCCACTTCTACTCCTAATACCTCTGACTAGGGCATGCCTCTTGAGAAATAAGAGTAAACAGGTAATATGAGGCCAATTTGTGAAGGATTTAGACTTCCAAACTGAAGACTGATCTTCATGTTATAAGCAATAGGAAGGTATTTTAGGATTTTCATTAGGAGAGCAACATCGGCATATGAGGGCATTGGTGGCAACAGTTCACAGTGGTGATCCTGGTCAAAACAAAAAGGAAGTTGTGTAGGGCTGCAACTCCAAGCTTTTTATCTTTATGCTAGCCAAAAGTCTGAGGATAGCTAGACGTAAAAGATTCAGAAACTCAAAGAAGAATAGAAAAGGCTATGCTCAGTGGACAAAGTGAATTTTGGCAATCAGGACCAATTCCAAGAAAACAAAACAAAAAAAAGAAATACCAATGTTCAGAGTGTAGTGGTGATACTGATCAAAAGGAGCCATTGGTTTTCCCTCTCCATCCTTGTTCCCACTGAATATAAGTAGCCCTGATCCCAAAGGCATATTCATGAAGACAGTGCAATTGAACAGAAATAGGATCACTGTGACTGCAAAAAGGCCTTAAGTATGGTTAAAGGAGCTGTAGGAGTATGCTTATAGACAGGAAATTATCTTTTATGAAGGATTTCTTTGGTATCAGTGTATAAAACTGATTGGAAAGGATAAGACCCAGGAGATTAGTTAGGACTCTATTACAATAACCAGAATATGAGTTAATGAAGTTTTAGACTCAGGTTCTACCTGCTTCCCATAATCTTGATATTTACTCTTAGCCATAGTCTTTCTCTTTAGTCTTCTCCAACAGTCACCTTTCTTGCTTTCTGCTCTTTATCAGTAGATCAAAATTGTTGAATTGTCTGTGCTCATTTTACGTATTGGATCAGTTTTTCTCCAACTACTTATGTTCATGTCTCACTACTCCTTGACACATTTACTATTCTATCTCTAAATTACAAATGTTGAATTCAATATATAAATGTTTCCAATGCCACCTATATTTATTCTCATTATTATTATCACTTTTACTCTTCTCACTTTAGTAGTTTCTTTGATCCCAGAATAGGCAACAGGGCACAGTTGCATTTTTTCTTTCTTTTTTTCAGACTGGGAGACCAGAAATAAAACCAAGGAGTCAACTCTAAAGCAAGACATTCCTGAAGCAGAATCATCCCAGAAAGTGACATTGAGAAAATTCACAAGGGATGGTATCTGGTACCCAGAGCTAGGAGAAACTGATTCTCAGTTTGGAATAGAGCAGAATATCAAGGAGGCAGAGCTGAGACAAATTACAGTTTCCCAAGCAAAAATAATCCCTAGGAAGACAAACTACAAGTGTAATGAATATAGCCTGGTTGCAGAACAAATTGTTCCTTCAAAAGATATCACTCATAAATGTGATATATATAGGAAAACCTTCTACTGTAATTCACAATTAATTGAACGTCAAGAAATCTGTTTAGAGAAAAAGCTCTTTGAGTGTAATGAATGTGGGAAAGCTTTTAGTAAAAGTACAATTCTTAAGAACCATCAGAGGATTCACACTGGTGAGAAACCCTATAAATGTAATGAATGTGGAAAAGCCTTCAGACTTCGTGGAAACCTTAGTCGACATAATAGAGTTCATACTGGAGAGAAGCCCTATGAATGTAATGAATGTGGGAAAGCTTTCAGGCTTCGTGGAAACCTTAATCAACATAAAAGAATTCATACTGGGGAGAAACCCTATGAATGTACTGAATGTGGGAAAGCCTTCAGATTATATGCACACCTTACTCAACATAAAAGAATTCATACTGGGGAAAAACCTTATGAATGTAATGAATGTGGGAAAACTTTCAGATTGCAGGGACATCTTACTAAACATAAGAGCATTCATCCTGGAAAGAAACCTTATAAATGTAGTGATTGTGATAAGACTTTCAGTAAGGGTTCATTCTTGGTGAGTCATCAGAGAGTCCATACTGGAGAAGAACCTCATAAATGTAATGAATGTGGGAAAGCCTTCAGTTCACGTGCAAGCCTTACTCAACATAAAAGAATCCATACTGGAGAGAAACCATATGAATGTAATGAATGTGGAAAAGCCTTCAGCCAGAATGTATGCCTTACTCAACATAAGACTGTCCATACAGGAGAAAAACCTTATGAATGTAATCAGTGTGGGAAAGCCTTCAGTCAGAGCAGACACTTAAATCGACATCAAAGAATTCACACAGGAGAGAAACCATATAAATGTGATGATTGTGGGAAATCATTTAGTAATGGTGAATTCCTTAGGCAGCATCAGAGAGTCCATACTGGAGAGAAACCCTATAATTGTAATGAATGTGGAAAAACCTTTAGACTTCGTGTACACCTTACTAGACATAGGAGCATTCATACTGGAGAAAAACCCTACAAATGTAACGAATGTGGAAAAACCTTTCGTCTGAGTACACACCTAACTCAGCATAAGACCATTCATACTGGAGAGAAACCCTACAAATGTAACGAATGTGGGAAAACCTTCCGGTTGAGTACAGACTGTACTCAACATCAGAGAATTCACACCGGAGAAAGACCCTATGCATGTAATGAATGTGGGAAAGCATTTTGGGACAGGTCATCCTTTACTAAACATCAGAAAATTCATACCGGAGAAAAACCCTATGAATGTAACGAATGTGGAAAAGCCTTCATTCAAAGTTCATCCTTTATTCAACATTGTATTACCCATACTGGAGAGAAACCCTATGAATGTAGTACATGTGGGAAAGCCTTCAGCCTTCATGCAAACCTTATTCGACACCAGAGAATTCATACTGGAGAGAAACCATATAAATGTGATCAATGTGGGAATGTCTTCAGGCACAGTTCAACCCTGATAAGACATCAGAGACTTCACAGTGTAGAATAATACGGAATTTAGTGAGTGAAGGGAAAGCTTTTGTTAGATGTCCCTTATTCAGATACCCTATGGCCGTCATGTCAACAGCTGTGATTTTGTTTGGTGTGTTTTCATAAGACATATACTTCCTTTCATATTATTCACCCATTGTAATTCATGTGGAAGAGGAAGTAGCTTGTTCTGCTTGGTCCCAGAGAGCAGGCCTAGGAAAAGTGGTAGAAAGTTACAGAAGTGGGGCAGCTAGGTGGCACAGTGAATAGAGCTCTGGCCTGGGAGTCAGGAGGACCTAAGTTCAAATCTAGCCTCAGACACTTAACACGTACTAGCTCTGTGACCTTGGGCAAGTCACTTAACCCCAATTGCCTCACACACAAAAAAAAGAAAGTTACAGAAGCAGGATTTTGCTAGTAGTAAGGAAACATTTCCTAACAATTAAAGCTATCTCAAAGCATAATCAACTGGCTTAGCAGAGCTCAGGTTTCTGTTCACTAGAAGACTTCTAGTAAAGCTTTGATGGCCATTTGGTGATGGGAGGATAGTGATTGAGGTCATAATTCTTCATATATGGATTGACCTAGCTGGTCTGCAAATTCTCCTTTCAATATCAAGATTCTGTGGTCCTCCTACCTATCTCTCCCTTCTATAAACTATAGCTGTAAAAATAATATTTCTAGTCCATTGGTGAGACCATGGAGACCAAATAATGTGGTCTGACCACATCATTTCCAAGCTATTAGTTGTTTTACTCTCCTACCTCTTTTCATTCATACATACATTCCATCTTTCATGCCTGGAATACATTCCCATCTCATCTCTGCCATTTTGAAACCCTCTTTTTCTTTTAAAACTCTAACTCTGATGCCATTTTTTTCCTCAAAGTCTTCCTTCCCCAATCTCTGTGACTAAAAGCCACCTCTCAGTCTTCAAAATTTCTTAGACATTTTTTCAGGAATCACTTCTGTATCCTTATCACATTTTACCTTGTATCATATGTCCCTGTGTACATGTCTTATTCCTTTTATTATATATTGTAAGCTCTTTGAGGGCAGATATTGACATTTTTCATTTTTGTATACTCAGAACTTAGCACAGTACCTTGCACATAGTAGGTGCTTAATAAATGTTTGTTGAATTTAATTGGATTACCAGGGTTAGTGATACCAAGTATCCATGATCCGTGATCTACCTTAGATTAAGAGCCCAGGTTTGACCCAGCAACGTAGCTAAATGTGGGATGTGGATAAGAAAAGGGGGTATTTAAAAAGGCAAAAGATAATGGGGACTAAATTAATGGAAGTTAATCAGGAGACCTCAGCTCCCAAGGGTACAAATGTATTGGACCTTTCATAGCAATATTTTCTATGGTAGCACTACCTACAACACATACACATACACACTTCAATGGGAAACCAAAACCATCCACCTCCCTCAGATTGAATTCAGTAAAGTAGATCTGAGTTGCTTTCCATTATACTTCTAGAGCAGCAGGATCTCAGTTTAAGGTTACATAAGAGTAGGAATAGCAAGGTGCTACGACCAAAAGAATAGGGTGGAGTTGACTAAAATCCTCTTAACTCATGATAGGTATGATCAAGAGTCCTTGCCTATAAGGGAAGAAAAAAATTCCAGGGAGAAAAACCATTGAATTTAACCTTTCATTTGGGGTGAATAAACCCAAGAGAGAGAAGGCTGGCAGATTACCCTTGTTGACAAAACTCTGAATAGAATTCGGAATGATTAGAATACCCATTAGCATAACTCAGCCCCCAAGAGGACATGAAAGAAGGTGCAGAGGATGTTGGATAGAAAAGTATTGCTGCCTAGAGTGTTAAGCAATAACAGATATATACAGGTTGTTGATCACTCTTTCCACCCTCCCATCCAATCCCGTGACTCTTTGCCATGCAACATTGTGCCACCCTCCTTCCCAGGAGGAAGAAAGATGGGTCTTAAAGTGGTCTTCAAAGGTACTTTCAGTACAGTAGTAATAATAAGGCACTGTAGGCTGCAGAGGTACAAGAGAGGACAGGTGACACTAAATGATGTAGTTTTCTTGAATTATTCCCTGTAGGGCTTAACTTGTGAGAAACAAATGAATTGAATATTGGTTGGTTGTATAACTATGACTATTATACAGGATGTCCCAGAAGTCATTGTGTAGTCTTAAGCTATTAATATTAAGCTTTCATAGCTTAAAACTGCATGAAGACTTTTAGGATACCCTGTATTTAAGGGTAACAAATAGAGGGAAGAGGGACTAATTTATCTTGGATCACCTCAGTCCATATTTGGGTAGTGAGAGCCAGTGGAATGAACACTAAACTGCTTGGGCTGATTGAGGTGCAACTGTGGTATAGCTGGAATTCCTTTAGTGATTTGTCCTGGCTGTCCTTCCCATGTGTCGTTTCAGTGCTTAGAGCTGTTCATGAAGTGTCTTTTTTGTTCAGGGTCATTGCCCATAAATAAACAATATGTACCAAAATTAGGGAAGTCAGCATTAATTAAAGTTAGTTCTATATCTACTGTAGTTAGTTGCACTGGTTATGCTTACCTCTTATTTCTTGTGGGCATATATGACAGGGCAGTGAACTTGAAGAATAGGTACAAGGACTAAAAACCACAATAAAATGAGCAGATTTTGTAAGAGAATTTTTAGGAGAGTTAAAGGAAATTTCAGAAGTCAGCATATTAGAGATGGGATACTTCTGAATGATGATGAAGTTAAGTTGTGCCCAATCTGGAGGGTGATTAAAGTGAAATGGAGGAATGGCAGACAATAGAGAGGGTCCAGGACCTGAAAGTCCAAGGTCTTAGAAAAGTCATTAGCATGAATATTGCTATCTCTTATGGTAGTAGTGGGGATGGGATGGAGCTAAAGATTGAGACAAACACTTATGGCATTGTAGAAAGTGGGAGCCTTCTCTGAAGGACAATAAATGACTGAAATGGATAATGTATTGGTCCAAGAGACCGGATTCTTTCAAGATCTGTGGAGAGGATTTATTTGGCACACTTACTACAAGAAATGAATCGTTTCATGGAAAGGAAGAAAAAGGATACACAGAGATTTGAGTTCCCATCAGCCATATAGCCACCCAAGTGCCAAGAAACTCCTGGGAGGGGAATTCACCATGCTTGTCTGATTGGGGGAGGGATTATGTGAAGGGAAAAGAATACTATATCATTTAGGCTGAAGACCAAAACTGATTGGCCATCCCATCTCAACCCACATCCTGATTTTTGCCTAACCTATAAGACAGCTAGTATAGATTGCTTGTTGCAGTGGTGACTGGTTAGGCTCCAGGGGACCTCCAACCTGAACTGCAAGCCCCATGCTAATAGTCCAGGTCATTAAGAGGAAACTTCTTTTCCTCTTTGTTTTTAGAAAAATGGGTACATAAGTTAATAGGTTATACTAATGCTGAATAATGGGAATAAAAATATCAAGTAAATATATATATATATATATATATATATATATACACACATATATGTCAGTGCAGTATGGAAGGTAACTGCCTAAAGGGTGTATAACTATAAGACATTTATGGATATGATGAAACTTAAAAGTTAATTTTAGAACAAGATGTACATGAATATGTGTGTATATACATATATATGCATATACTATATATATGCATATATATATGCACATTAGTATATATGGAAGATAGCTTTGCTACAAAATAGGATTTATCATCAGAACAGATATATTCACTTATCACTTCTTGATTAGGCATGGGTATCTTTATGTAGGTATGAGTCTGTTTATGGCCTGAGCATGTTATTTAGCTATCGCCTGGAAACAGTTGCAAAGCTTTAAGATATGTTATTCACACCACCACAGGTGAAGAAAAAAATAAAGAAAAGCTGGCACAAACTTCAAAAGAAAGTTGGCGTGTAATGGAGAAAGAATAATTGTTTCATAGGAGAAAAAAACAGGTTTGGGAAACTTGGGGAGCAAAGGAAGGAATGGGAGAAGAAAGATTAGCACAAAGTCACCTAGGCCAGGAAAAGAATAGCATTGTTCAAGCTGATGAAATTGGTTAGAAGTGTCAAATGTAACAGTAATTGGGAGTGAATACTGAGAAAAGACCTATGAGTCTGGGTAGAAGACAGTGACCTCCTAGGGAATAGTTTGCATAGACCGCTGGTAACAGATTGAAGCAGATCAGGAAGAAATGGGTGGAAGAAATTGCTATAAACTGCTTATTTAAAGGGATCAGGAGTAAAAGATGGGAGAACAATTAACATAGCACCTTAGGAGCTGCCAAATTAAAAGCAGCTTTGTTAGGGTCAGCTAGGTGGTGCAGTGGATAGAGCATCAGCCCTGAAGTCAGGAGGACCTGAGTTCAAATCCGGCCTTAGACCAAACACTTGACACTTACTAGCTGTGTGACCCAGGGCACCTAACCCCAATTGCCTCAAGAAAAAAAGGTAGTTTTATTTTCTTCTTTAGAGAAAGATGTGATTTGGCTCCACAAAAGCCAAAGTGCAAAGGAGTTAGCTTTAGAGAGGAAAAGGAAAAAAAACCCACTATAAAATAGAGATGTTATCTAGTTAGTTGAGGTATGTGAAGAAGCACATATTGTATGATTTCAGAGTTTGTGTGTGTGTGTGTGTGTGTGTGTGTGTGTGTGTAGTTTGTAACTTCTAATCCTTTGTAAATTTATGAATATCAGAGGTTTTGAGCTATATTCTTAGGGAAAGTGAAATTACCTCTGAGAATAGTATTAGGCAGATGATAATTACTTACACCTAGTGGCATTTATCATTACTTTCCTTTGTGAGACCTATGAATCACAAAACAACTGTCTGAACACCTCCAACTGAGTGGTAATATATATATTAGGGATAAGACCTGTGATTTCATTGGCATAGGGCACTATTGTTGAGGAAACTTCTACCAATTCAGGTCTTCACACTCTCTGAAACTTAGGGTCTTAGGGAGTTTTCTAGAGCACTGAAAGGATAAATGATCTGCTCAGGATCATACAGCCAGTATATA